TTAAGGGATTTTTCGGAATAGCGATTTATTCCAAAATAACCTCGAAATAAGCTATGTAATTTGCATAGCACAAACTATGTAGCTTATTTAAGATAAGGATTCTGTGTAGACACACCCCATGTAAGGCAGAAATATCAAAATACAGATTTATTTGATTATAAATGCAAAGGTCTAATCTATATCACCCTGAGACATATGTGAACAGTGCAAAGGGACTGCATAATGTATTTTGTCAATGTGAACTTTATTATAAATGTCTGTATACCTGAAATATTTAGAGATTCGCAATGTCTCAAAATGGAGTCTAAAACTCCATTTTGATTTTAGAATGCCTTTGGTACCATCCATTAAAGTCCAACATTCTGTCACGTCCGCAGGTGACTGTTAAAGTTTAAAACATCATTCACCTGTCGGTTTCCATTTACATAATATATAAATATTCATGAGCATTCCCAATATCCAATCAGTTTGTACCACGCCCAAGGTGCATCGTTTGGCATCCAATCATTTTAAAACCTTGCAGTTCATGCATATTCATGAGCGGAGGCTATAAAAGCTTCTGCCTAGCATCAGTTCGTTCTGGTCTTCGGGCGTATCCTGAGATCAGGGCGTCGCTTGCGTCGGGCTTAGGCAATAGATTAGGGGTGAATGCCAGTATGAGAGAGGTCCTGTAAAGATCTTGTCTTTAGAGAATTGGACGGAAGGTCTTTTTCTCTCTTTTAGGTTAAGTTAGTTAGTTTAGTGATTAGTTAGTTTAGTTCACGTCGTCGTGTTTGTCCATCAGGCTGTGTCGGGTCAACGCATGTCGGCCGTCATCGAGTCTGTACGTCGGGCACGTCACGTTTTAGCTTAAGGTTTTATCTTCGGCTAGGTTTCGAATAGTTAGAGACGGAGTCTAGCATCCATCGCCTGTTCCAGAGGCGCTGAAGAGCCTGAAGAATCGCACTTCGCGGAAGGTGAAGTCAGCAATTCATCTCAGCTCTTCGTGGGACGCCTGGCTGTTCCTCTCTTGAGGTCCGGAAGGACCGACGGATTGAGGTCGCCAGCTTCGACCCTGAGACAGCCGGCGAGGGACACCTGGTCGTTCCTCTCCTGTGGCTTTCAAATAGCCAAGAGATTGAAGGTCACCAGCATCACCTCAATCGCCCTTTCGTCGCCGCAGACTCTGTGAGTAGGTATAGGGACCTGGAGGGACTTCCCCTTCTTGTCCGTGTAGTTTAATAGGGGACTGCCCCCTTATTTGTTAATTAGAGGTATACCATTTTTACAAATTCTACTGTTTGTTAAATTTAATCTGCTTAATATAGTCTTGTGGTTATCACTGAAAACCCAAGTCTTAAGTTTTTATTTAACGTGCCATCTCAATCTAAGCGCTGACACTCTGCCGGTGATTAGATACGGAATAGGAGTCCCAACCTGAAATACCATTCCTAAGCGGATGAGTCGGGTTATTCAATAACTCTCTGGGAAGTGTCTTTAAACACCTTTGACCTTCCTTATTCTGTTCGATAGACAGGTAACACCCAAAGGGGCTAGAATAATGTTTACTGGGGAAACTGAAAGCCATTGGACCAACCTGTAAACCACTTCCAGCCAGGAGGCACAGCAGCATCTCTGACTGTGTGTGTGTGTGTGTGTGTGTTTGTTTTAAATACTTTTAAATTGTGGGCTGTAGTAGAGAGTTCTTCAGCTATTTAATTCTGAAGATTTTCCTAATGTAGGCCACAATAAATGCACTAAATTAATGTTTTAGTCATCAAAACACTGCCCTATATCATTAATATTGAACTTGCTTTTGTCTCAGTCAGTATTTAATTCTTGGGTCAGTAAGTCTTGATGTTCTCTTCAATGCAAGTCAATATCTGTTTAATATTTCATGATGGAGCTAACTAGAAAGCACCATATAAATTTGTTTCCTTATGCTGTGCGAAATGAATGCAGATCGTCCACATGATCTGTACAGATCTTGGAAAGAATATTTTGAATTCCCCAAAGTTTGTTCTGTGTAAGGGTACAGATTACTGTTTTATTTCTGGATTTGTGTGTGTGTGTGTGTGTGTGTGTCTACCGGCTGCAATGGTATCATTTGAAGTCAGAGCGGTCTGTGTTTTCACTGATAAGCAGGTGATTGATACCCAGCCTTACAAACTCTTCCTATCAATATCCATATTGATGCTGTGAAGAACAGGACTTTAACAGAGTTCACAAAAGAACTAGATAAATTCATGGAGGTTAGGTCCATCTATAGCTATTAGTCAGGATGGGTAGAAATGGTTTCCCTAGCCTTTTTTTGTCAAAGGCTGGAAATGGATGACAGGAGAGGGATCACTTGATGATTACCTGTTTCTGTTCACAGCCTCTGGGGCATCTGGCATTGGCCACTGTTGGCAAACAGGATACTGGGTTAGATGGACCTTTGGCCTGACCCAGTATGGCCATTCTTATGTTCTTATATTAACGTGCACTCTTTCTTCAAAAGAGGTCATCTGGTCCAGTCCCCTGCACTCATGGCAGGTCCAACCACCATCTAGGCGACCCCTGTCAGTTGTTTGTCCAACCTGCTCTTAAAAATCTTCAGTGATGGAGATTCCGCCACCTGAAGTCACAATTCAATTCTTCTATGGCCTCCACTACTGAAGCAGCTGAGCAACCCCCAATCTTTAATGTGTTTATCTTCACAACACAAGAGACGTGCTATTGTCTCCCTTCTACAGATGGAAAACAGAGGACTCAGGCCCAGATCCTCAGCAGTATTTAGGGCCCTAACGTCCACTGAAAGCAATGGGAGTTAGGTGCCAAAGGACCATTTAAGTGACTTCCCTGGGTTCACCCAGGAAGTCTGCAACAACACAGGGAACTGAAGTGAGGTCTGCAAAGTCCTAGGCTTGTATCCTGAGCCCTGGGTCACTTTTCCAGTGAGTCCCTAGCTAGGCTGAGAACATTGTTTGACCAGAGATATTGGTGGGTCCTTTTGTCATGTGATTTCATTATTGTAATGAATTTATGCAGGACTCCCTATCGTGTCATCCATCAGCTCCAACTCATACAGAACAATAGCTGCCTTTTTTTTTTTTTAATGGTGATCAGGCTTTTCAGTAGTTAACACTTTCCTGAGTCAGTCCCTGGACTTGCAATACAATTTTATTTTTTTTACTTTATTTTCATTTTATTGCAAAATAAACAGTAAAACAAATAGTGAAATTATGAGAGGTATAGTAACTTTCAATGAATAAAATATTTCTCTTGCAGTGCATACCTTAAGCAACATTGACTGCTGCATTTTCAGAAGGTTCTTTAATTTTGGCTTACAACTTTGCAGCAGACACCTGCTTTGGGCACACATTAAATAAAAGATGCACGTTGCTTCATAAAACCACCTTTCCACAAACATTCAGGTCTTGTCTACAAATAGAAGTTATGATGGTTTAACTTAAATCTATTTCCAAACCCATTTAGTTAAATCCTTGCATAGCTGCTCTTTATTTTAACTTAAGAGTGTCTCATTTGGGTTTAGCTTAAATTAGTTCCTAACTGACTTGAGCTAAATTAGTACCAGAGAAGTCTGTTTGCTCTGATTTAACTCAAATCAATGTTTGATCACGTTTACTAAGAGAAATGCCTGCAAGCAATTCCAGTGCATCGGAGTAGTCTCAGGGACTGAGAGGATATGTCTGAACTTGCACCCTAGTTCAAACTAGGGATGCAAATGCAGGCATTCAAAATAGTCAATGAAGCGGGGATTTAAATATCCCATGCTTCATTAGCATGACCTTGCCGGTGCGTTACTCTGAATGCCAGCTGTTTCAAAAGTGAAAGTGCGCACTGGGGCGCGTTAGTTCAAACCAAACCCCTTGGTTCAAACTAACATTACCCCTCATTTTTTGAGGAGTAACATTAGTTCCAACCAAAGGGTTTGGTTCGAAATAATGCGTCCCGGCACAAACTAGGGTGCAAGTGTAGATATACCTAGAGGGATTATTTGTATGCACAGAGTATAGAATCACAGGGTTGGAAGAAACCTTGGAAGGTCATTGAGTCCAGCCCCCTGCCCAAAGCAGGACCAACCCCAACTAAATTATCCCAGCAAGGCCTTTGTCAATCCAGACTTAAAAAGTCTAGAAATGGAGATTCCACCACCTCCCTAAGTAATCTATTCCAGTGCTTCACCACCCTCCTAGGGAAATAGTTTTTCCTAATCTCCAACCTAGACCTCCCCCACTGCAACTTGAGACCATTGCTCCTTGTTCTGTCATCCATCACTACTGTGAACAGCCTCTCTCCATCCTCTTTGGAACCTCCCTTCAGGTAGTTGAAGGCTGCTATCAAATCCCTCCTCACTGTTCTCTTCTGCAGACTAAACAAGCCCAAATCCCTCAGTCTCTTCTCATAACTCATGTACTCCAGCCCCCTAATCATTTTGGTTGTCCTCTGCTGGACTTTCTTCAATGTGTTCACATTCTTTCTGTAATGTGGGCCCCAAAATTGGATGCAGTACTCTAGATGTGGCCTCACCAATTCTGAATAAAGGGGAATTAATTGCTAAGATGTGGCCCGCATCAGGAAAAAGTTTAGGAACTCCTGTATGAAATATTAGATAGTATCTTGACTTTTCCTTATATTGATTCTTCTGAACACAGGTGCCTCAAAGCAGAATATTTTAAATTACTGCTTTTAAGTGTTCGTGTTAATGACAAAGAACTATTCATTCACTGCTACATATAATGCAAATATGTTACTGCTATTAACCCTATGAGTAAAACAAATGACATATGTATTTTAATAATGTTCAGATTTTAGCATATGCATCTTCCTTTACATTTATTGACATATGTTCTCAGCAGTTTGTACATTTTATGAGTCAAACAGGTCATGTGAATTATCTGGTGGCTTCTGTACCTTCTCTGGAAACACAAACCTTACAGGTGGAACCAATACACGTAGCTATTTTCCTTTGCATAGGATACAGATCCATTAAATCAAAATCACTTTCCCCAGAAAATAGGAAATACTTATCTGACAGTTTTGTAAGAAAAATGGGAGTTATGACTATTTAAATTCTGCTTGTAGTATATTTTAAAAAGTGAACAGAGCTACAAAAGAGCATGTGAAAACCACTGCTAATCTGACAGAATTCATTTCCAGAAAGCAGTTGGTCTTCATCTGCGTGTTGCATTCTACCAAATTGCTTTGTAGGGTTCACTTGCTGGATGGCATTTCTACGAGAGCAGCACCACTCTAGTACAGAACTACAGCTTCGTATGGAACTTCACCTGTTCTCTGTGCTTTTGGTCTGTTAAGGACTCTGTTCCTGTTCAATAACAATAGCAAAGATCCAACATAAAACATTTGCTGAGGTAACTGTAGTGAATTACTCTGAAATAACCTTAAAACGAACGTGAACTGGCAGTGCTTCATTTTCCCTCATAAATATTCATAACTAATGTATAAAATGCTAATCTTGCCCTCCTCCATTTCCTTTCTGCCTTCTCCGTCTGCCCCTTTTGGAATTAAGCACTTATCTCCCATGTAGTGAATAGGGCTCAATTATGTGAAGGGCTGCAGAATTTTAATGAATTGCAAAATATAGTTAATTATGGAAAAAGACATCTTTTGCATTTTTTCATGTAAATTAGACAAATTAATTGGTGTTTAGTATTTTTTTTTAAATGCACGCAGCCCTTGGTGGGGAAAAAGACCTTGACAATTCAGCATCAGGATCCTGATAGAGAGAGAAAGAAAGAAAAACACAGTGGGGGCATTTTTGATATGTTGAACTAATCTCCAAAGTGAACACTTCCTAATTCTAATCTAGAATGGTGAGAAAGTTATAGAAATCTTTTCTCATAAGCTAAATTATTAATTTTCTAGAATGGTGAGAAAGTTATAGAAATTATTAATTATTTGAGCTTAAGATTTCAGCTCATGAACCATAAGAATTAATAGCTCTGACTAGATCTAAACCTTGAAAGGTGTAGGCATTGTGCTAACTTTCCCTGGCTATATCTAGACTGCAGGCTTCTTTCGGAATAAGCTTTTCCGGAAGAGATCTTCTGAAAAACCTTCCAAGAGAGAGCATCCACACTGTTAAAGCGCATCAAAAAAGTGATCTACTTTTTAAAAGATAGTGTCCACACTGAATGGTCTGCATTTACGCTGTGATTACTATGGACCAAGTGGCCACCAGCACACCTGTGCTTTTTCCTCTTTCCTCTTCTTTCAAAAGAACTCCCTCTTCCCTCTCCATACAGGAGCTCTTTCGGAAAAAGGCTTCTTCTTCGTAGAAAGAGGTTTACTAATGTCAGAAAAAACCCTCTGTTCTTACAAGTTTTTTTGAAATAAAGCAATTGCAGTGTGTATGTAAGTGAATTTTTTTTTTTGGAAAAATAGCCGTTTTTCCGAAAAATCTCTGTAGTGTATACATAGATCCAGACTGTTCTGCCAATGCATCTCCATCCTGCTCCTCTCTTCAGATGATGCAAGCAATTCTGTTACGTTGGATAGAAGTTCTGTAATGGGAACAAATGTCCAATATAGACTACACTGAGCCAATTTAGTTAGTTTTCAATTATGGCCTTTCAGTATTTGAGTCCAAGAGTCACACAATGGAAAATAAGCCATTATGTATGGGTGAAATCCTGGTCTCATTGATGTAAGAGGCAAACCGCATAGGACTAAGTATACAATACACAGATTTAAATACACTTTGAGATTGTTTAATTCAGAAAACAATTGTAACTCCCAATTTGCAGTCATTGGTGCCTAGCCAGGATTTCTGGTTGATCATATCAAAATTCAGACAGAGATACACACACATTTTTGTATCTGTCAACTGTGGCATAAAGACTATTGTTAGTTTTAATTTATTTGCTCTATAAAAAGTGTATTTTATAACATTAAAAGACTGTCAGAAGACTTAACACCATGTAATTTCAGTGAATGTTGAGTGCTGCCAGACAACGTATTATGAACATAATAAATAACACAATAATAATACTCAGTTCTTACGAAGCCAAGTGGCCTGTTTCTAAATAACTCCCACAAGATACCTTTTCACGTTTCTGCAGTTGGAAAGTTTTATAACACTAAATGTCCCAAATCATTTCAGGCCAGATTCTGCACATGCTGAATGGTACTTTACGCCTTGAGGAGTCCCAATGAAATCAATTAATTACCACAACCTTTTAGGAATC